CCCCCGCCTGGGGCAGGGCTGCTGGCAGGGCTCCGCTCGGCTCCTCGGACTCCAGCCTGCCGTGGTGCGAGGCTGGCGGCGGCACTCACGGGGCAGAGAGAGGGCGGCTCACACGGGGGAAGAGACACCCGGGGAGAATGCAAGACCGGTATGAATGAGGCTGCAAGACCCTTTGGTGCCACTGCGGTGCCTGGCATTCAACAGCACAGGGCAATACACGCATTATACAAAGCTCCATTTAGAATACACCAATTTCCTATCTAGAACTTACTAAGCACAGGGCCAGCCTTCTGTTAAAGCATAAAAAAGGATCCCCCCCTTTTCCAGTCCCAGGTTAGGTCAGAGGAAAGCTATGAATGCAGGATCTTTTTTTGTGCCCTAATATACATTTCCCTCCTGTTTTCAGAGGCAGCTTCTGCTGCATTGAGGAAGCTGGAGATTCCTACCACATGACTAGTGATTTTTCAAGAAATGCCCCCAATTGTAACAGCAGTCACCTGCTGACAGGGAATGGTGAAATTGTTTTTCCCAGTTCCAAAGACTACACAAAAGCTTTACACGATTCAAAAAGCTTTCATTATACTCATCTCAGACTCCCTCGCTTGCCACCACAGCACGGAAAGCTGTCTCAGGTCTTGGCAGCAGAACTAGATGCTGTGACTGCCACTGCGAGAGGGTAAAACACTGCTCTTCAAGATGGGCAAGGTCTCCCATGCTCTCATTTATGTAATGCTGCATGGGAGGACTATACCTTGCTTGCAAAACCCTGTTTGCAACTTGATTTTACTTCCTTTTATGCCTACTGAACTCAGGCATACTTTTGGCCACAGCTTTAAGCAGCAACTTTGATTGTTCGCCATTAAATTGTGAACACTGTAAGTCTTGACATAGAACATCATGAAGTCGTTCTCTGTGTTCCATACTTAAAATTCACCTCCCTCACTGCTGCCTCTGTGCTGGCTGTATTTCATAGCTCAAGCTATGGATCACTCCATATACAAACAGGTTATGAATCAAAGCTTTTAGTGGCCCTAGAAACACAGCTATTTCAGAAAAATGCACCAGCTCTGTCCCTGAGGCAAGCAATTCCAGGAAATGTGATGTTACTGCAGACCAGAGGACGTGCTCAGTTGTCTCAAGAGCCAGCCTAGCCTTAAGGCTGTGGCAACTTTGAACTTACAAAAGCTTATTCCTACATTATCTCCAGTGCACCTAAAGGAGGAAAGAGATCTGTTGAGCTTCACAGCTTTCCCACTTCAATTAGGGGAAGAGAGCTCCTGGGTCATATTTCAGTCCTGAAAAAATCTCTACAAAACCTAAAAGACACACTGCAAAGTTCCTGACACTTAAAAAGCAACCCTTGCCCACCATCAGCCCCTGAAGAAGTTGTCAATCCAGCACAGTCAAGTG